GGGGGGGGTAGTGTGGCGCCGGCACATACGAGCCGCACGTGGACTTTGGCCGGCCGCCCGCAGGCTGGAATAATAGCGCTTTGCATGCGGTCAGCAGGTGGTCAGCCCCGGGGCCTCAGGGAGGGGACTATACCTCTCGTGTGATATGCGAGCGACCGGTGCGCTCTGGAAGCATTCCAGCGGCTCCCAGGGACGCGCGCGCGTTTGTCCCCCACCGAACCCTCCGCCACGCCACGCTCCGCCAGCTGCAGCGCGGCGCCCCGCCTCCCCTACTACCCGCCCCTTGGGCCCATAGCCCAGTCCCGGTGTTCCACTTGGAGCTTGACATTCACGGACGCGGAAAGGGCGCTTCACTTCCGGTCCTCACTTCCGTTTGGTCGAGTTGAGTGGAAGTGAGCTGAGTGGAGCCGTAAGAGGACGGGGGTGCGGACGCTATGGGGTAGGTAAAAGTAGGGGGGAAGTTTTGTATTTTAACGAATTTTTCGTAACTTCACAGTTTTTATGATTAAAAAACTCCCGTCATCCCCGCATTATCAACAATGTTCGCAGAGGACGGGGGTGGAGGAACGCCGAGGATGAAAATGTGGCCCATTCTTGCTTTCGGTACTGAGCGAGGATCACGAAAGAAAGCGCCCTCTTAAAATCTTAAAATTCACCTCTTTCCCTGTACCGCCGTGCGGTTGTGTGCTCATGAGCAGGCGGTGGTATGTGGGGAAGCCGGGAGCCTCCCATCAGAGACCGCACCACGTTATGCTCCTCCCGCTAAAAAGGTAAAAGCAAAGACTTTTAGCCTGAAACGCGACCGTAGCGCTGGGAAGGCTCGCTGTCTGGAGCTGCCTGGCGTGTCGGGGCGTGGCGCTGTACACGGGGAACACCCGCAATGGCGCCGACGAAAGGGCGGCGGGGGCGCGCGCCAACGAAGGAGGCACGCCCGCATAATTTTGACCGTCTCTTCCTCTTCGCTTTCGCGGAATCTCACTTTTCATTCCGCCCGGCTCCCCACCCCCGCCCGCCGCCGCCCCCGTTGAGATTCCAGCTAACTGGCAGGCGGTTCGGCTGGGTTGTCATTGATAATTTTCGTTATTGGTTCAATGTAATTTCTTACGGGCCCCTTTGCCCCACCTTCTGCCCCGCACGGAAAAAAGGCTATAACAAACGCTAATTTGACCCTTGATCAAAATATTACCTTTGCCTTGCGTATTATAGGCTAAAAAAATGGGTCGTCATTCGACTTCAATTTGATACGGAGTTTTTTGTACATTTACAATCTTAAACTGGAATTGTACGAATTTTTTCATGGATAATTTCCTTTACATGCCAGTAATTTTTGACTGTATTTTGCCCGCAGCCGTGTCTGTGTCCGTGGGCGTGTGGACGCTGGTGGCCATCTCCCTGGAGCGCTACTTCGCCATCTGCCGGCCGCTCAAGTCTCGCCGCTGGCAGACTCAGTTCCACGCCTACAAGATGATCGCCGTAGTCTGGCTCGCCTCCTGCCTGTGGAACGCCCCCATCCTGGTCGTGTCCAGACTCATGGCCATGCAGAACACGGGTGAGTATACACTCTAAATGTAAATAAGCGACAATTTTGTTCCTAGAAAGGCCGTGCTCATCCACACTGTAAAAAATGTTCGGATTTTTGCCATACAAGTGTTTGGGAAAAATCCCATACGCGTGTTGGACGCGAAATTTTCTACACATGTGTAGGATTTTTACTATATACGAAATACTGTATAGGGAAAAACCGATATGTATGTGAAAAATCCCACACTTTTGTGGCAAAATGCCTGCGAGTGTTTAGGAAGAACTTTTCACATACAAGTGTGGGACTTTTGCTATTTTTATCTTGAAAATTTCCGACAACGCAATAGTAAAATTACAGTTCATGATTTTTGGACAAAACAGTCCTGCTGCTTGGGTACAATTATTCAGCAGTCTCGTTGTCCTGCTATGGCCGCAAAGAAATCATATTGTGTCGAGAGTGCTTCTCAAGAGAAATGAAATAGATCAAAATATTAGGGCACAGAGTTTAATATCATTCCCGAAATCAAAACATGCATTTAGAAATCCCTTACGCAAAGGGCAGGTGGCCGCCGCCCGCACCTGGCCTCTAATAATGGCCGGGTGGGGCCGGCCGCGCGGCTCTGGGATGACCCGGGGACGCTACGGCCACTCTCGCAACAAGTCGCCGTGGTCTAGTGGTCAGCGTGGCAGCATCGCAACTCTGAAGTCCGAGGTTCAACTCCGCGTCCGGTAAAGTATTTAGTAACTAGAATTGTGAACTTAAATGTAAATTACGAGGAGTGAGGGTGCAGTAAGAGTAGGATCCGAGTCCACAGCCCCAAAAATATCATTTTTCATTTTAAAAATCCGTACGGGAAAAATCCCACACCTGTCAAGGAAATCTGCTGCACTCGTTTGGGATTTTTCCCACACACTCGTATAGGAAAAATCCTACACTTGTCTCGTAGATCTGCTGCACGACTATGGGATTTTTCCCACACAGTCGTATAGGGAAAATCCTACACACTGTATATGTAATTTGCTTCAGACACATTTATGGGATTTTTCCGACACATATTTTTTACAGTGCAGACCGGATGCAATTTTGTTCAAATAACTGGACAAATTGTGTCGGTAGTGCTCCCACCACAAGGCAAAGACTCAAACGAAAAGCAAAGAGTCGTGTGTCGTCGTGCGTCTTCGGTAAAAAGAAAACGTTAGAAAAAACAAGAAAGTTTAGCCCATGCTGCGCTGTTCGCGTGCAGTTTTATCGGCATCCGAGAAACTTTATCGGCTGCCTGCAACGCACGTGGTGCAGACGGACAGCAGTTCTCCCCAACTTTTGTACCTTCCTCTTTGGACAGTCCAACAAACTAAACTACCTCGCCCCTCCCAGTGCGGTCCTGTACCGCTTGGACTCGATTAGCGCCTGCGACGCGGTGGGTAGGCCGACCCGCACGCCTCACGCGCTCGGCGGGACTGCCTATCCCGCGTGTCGCAGGGGCTCCCATTCGACCGAACTCGCACGCACATAAGAATGAGCTTATTAGGCAGTTTTTAGACAGTTCTCAAGACTGTCTCTATATCTGAGGCAAAAGTCCCTACTTTCTATGTTCACTATGAATTTTAAGTAGTTGTGCACTGCCAATAAAAGTCGGAATTTTCCAACAAAAATCTTGTCTAAAGAAGAGTTATTTGGAACTTTCTTTAAAGAATTTGGGGAAAATATGTTTCCAAACTATTCGGGGTGCAAATTTCTCATTTAATTGTTTAGAATTTAAAAAAAAATCACAGTTTACACCCTGGTCACGGCCCATGCCCTCCTGTTGAAGGTCGCCACAAGTGTCGCGAGGTGTGGAGTTCGCACAGCTCGGAGCGCATCTACAACCTGTTTCTGGACGCGATGCTGCTGCTGGTGCCGCTGCTCATCATGAGCCTCGCCTACCTGCTCATCGTGTCCAAGCTGTGGCGCGGCCTGCGACGCGAGATCCGCCACTCGTCGTCCTGCAAGCAGTCGGGTGAGTCGAGGTCCCAGCAGGATCACCGGCTGTGCAGTTTATTTCAATTAGGGTCGAACTTTTCGATGTTCTTGTTACCACCGGTGGTCGCCAGGCTGCTAGCCTAATAGAATTATTCATTTCCACAAAAATCTTTTGCCGTGATGTGGAACGGCGTGAGAGAGCGGCTATGCCCCTCGCCCCCTACCCTCTCCCCACTGAAAACCAGCGGGAACGGCTCTCTTCAGCTTCTTGCGGGATAGAATGGGGGTAAAAAAATGAGGGAGAACATGTTCTCTGAAAGACAGCTGATTGCAGTGTGTTTTATTGCAGTGCTGACCGTGCCCGGGGGACCATCGCCTGTGGCCTCCGAGGTCATGGAACACATGCTGCCCGTGCACGCCAACGGGAACCAGCGTGTCTGGAACACGACGAGGACGGGGCGCCTATCGCAGCCCAAGAAGAAGACGAGCACGGTCAAGATGTGGCTTAGAAAGGTAAGCTGATATTACAATGAAATTCTCTACATTTTGTTTTCATCAAGCGCACTAAAAGCTGCCGAGGCCGTCTCTCATGGCCTGTTCTGCGCCAGCTGGAACCTACTCCGCTCTTGTTTGCCCGAGGGGAACGAGCGAACCGTATGAAAAATGCAAACGTCGCCATGCTTCTATTTGAAACCCTCCGGTCGTTATGGTTTCCGCCAGTCCTTTCTGCTCTAAATTTCTCATATAGTATGATGAACAGAGCCAAAAGCAAAGGCAAGCGGGCCAAAGGAGACTCAGCCCGTTGGTCACATTGAAAAGTAAAGAACGGTGGAGAGAGAAAAGACTTTGCGTCTTTCGATTACACGAGGGAGTGTCACTGCGAAATACAATAACGTACAAAAAGGCTGCAGCTGTAATATGCTTTAAGAAAAATATCACCCTTACAATAAGCAGACAGGTGCACTGTTTAAAATACTGTCGTAAGTTTTGTAATTAAAATTTACAAAACATGTTGTAAATTTATGGCACCTCTAATTTGCGCGTCGATGAATTGATGTCGATAAATTTTGCTAGTAATTTTACCGAGGGGGTATCCACTCAGGTAATAGTCGGGTCAGTCGCCCGGTAATAGTTTTGGTAATACAGGTAATAGTCAAGTAATAGGTAATAGGTAATAGTCGCCAAAATGAGATTTTTTGGTCTGAAACTTCGATTTTATGGAGAATATGTGATTTTTGTAAAAGTTTAGTTCTGATTTCTGATGCCGGTTTGTGTAATGACATCCTTAGTCTAAGTGTCGAATACACTGTACTGACCCGCTCTTACCTGTGTCCTGTTTCCAGCAACAGCTGTTGCGACGGCTCCCTATGAGGGACTGTTTGCGGGGGTTTTTCCTCTCCCGGGTTTCCCGAGTTAATCCCTTCGCCGGTGCAGCCACGGCAAATATGCAGGCTAAAGAGGGCGTTAGGATATCTCTTACATTCTGGCCAGTCGTAACAGCCCCCCCCCCCAACCCCCAATTTGTTTCTCTTTACAGTGACAGTAATGATAGTGCGATGACGCAACCAAGTTTAAACACAATAACTTACTTAAATTTTGGTCAAATCTGAGTTCAAATTTTGACCCCCCCCCTTTCAGGTATCTATAGATCAGGAATAATTTCGATTTTCGGGAGACATTAGTGCTGCAATTGGTCACAAACTCAAAATTCAATGGTAAGGACAATATTTTACTCATCTAATAGTCGTGTAATAGGTGCGCAATGGTTTTGTAATACAGGTAATAGAGAGGTAATAGAGGTAATAGAAAGGTAATAGTGGTAATAGATAGGTAATAGACAGGTAATAGAGGTAATGGAGGTAATAGGGAGTAGTCGGGCCACGATTTTGGAGAGTGGATACCCCCTCGAATTTTACAATTTTGAATTGTAGTTTTACGACACGCGTCAAGGAGAATTTTCCCGTAACTCCTACAACTATTTTTCAAAGTGCGGAGATGCCGCATGCTGCATACTCCTTTTTATTATTTTGTCTTGTTTGTCCTACCAGGCGCGGCGGTCGGGCGGCTCGGGGGGCCCGTCCGCCACCTTCGACACGTGGCGCCGGGGCCCCGCCGCCAACGGTCAGGCCATGGCCGACCCCCTGCAGCTGCAGCACCAGCTGCACCAGCTGCACCAGCAGCACCAGCTGCACCAGCACGGCCTCGGTGAGCAGCAGGTGCAACAACAAAAACAACGCCGGTGTGCCTTGCAATGTCTACGGAGCGGAAGTCGCGCCGCCGCCGCCTAAGCGTGCCCCGGATCCGAGGGACGACGAGGAGTTGTTTCCGAAATGAACATTCCTGACTTTAAGCGTCGCCCCGTGGGACAGCCTGATAAAAATCCCCCGCCTCCGGTGTCGTGCCGACGCGACGGAGCACTTGCACCCGACCGTCGTAAAAAAATTTACACACTGCACTAAAGTCGAGAAATTGGCACCTGATATCCATTCCTGCACGCACGTGTGGTCTGTAAAATCATAGTGTAAAATGTAAACATCGTAAAAAGTAACACTCTTAAGGTCTCGCTTAAGCTCGTCAAAGTTGTTTATTTTTGGTATGTTTACGAGAGTATTATGACACTTTCGCAGAGCCCGAGCTGCCGCTGCTTACGGCTGGCCAGACGTCGGACGTGGACGCCGTCGGCACGCCCGTCGGCACGCCCGTCTGCCCGCTCGCCCGGCACGCCATCCGCTCCAACTACATGGACAAGAGCATCGAGGCCAAGAAAAAGGTTGGTGGTGGTGGTGTTTGTGTGTGGATGTCTCTCGGCCGAGCGTCGTGGGCGACGCCCCACCGCCCCTCTCGAGGGTTGCGCGAACCGTTCGTCCGTCCCAACGGGCGTGTTCAACGTGCTCCGATAAGAATTCAGTACTAGTACCCAGCCGCTCGCCGCCTCGCCGTCCCGGCCGGCAGACCGGCTACCGGGCAAAGTGCCAAAAATATAGAGCGGAAGGGGCTCTAGGCGGCCCCGAAGCGCAGGGTACCCGGAGGCCCGTGCGAACGACAACACCGCGCGGGCGCGGCGGCGTAGTCTGGTGACGCACAAAGCCTCATGGGTCCTCCCCGGCCCTCGGCCCATTCCTTCCGTCCGTAAAGGCTCAAAGCAGCGGTAGGGTAGCGAGCAGCGAGGACTCTCGAGAATTTTTGCTTTTGTTTTACACCTCACTCTACGCTTATATTTTGCTTTGGTTCGCTGAAAAACATTTTAAGAATTACAAGTTTTTTGGAACTTTTCTAGAAGGAAATATTCATAGTATGTAATACTTATGTGTCTTTACCTGTACAAAAAAAAAATATCCCGAGAAGAAAACTTACTGCTTGTGTCCTGCTCTTCACCTCGCTGTTGTTCGGTGAAGGAAGTCTGCAATGTTTTACGTAAATACCTCTCCCGGCACCCATGGATGTTGCAACGGAACCGAACCATTTTCGCGTTGACTGGTAGACCCAAATACCGAGCCCCCTTGTCCAAGCCTCTCCCGAATTCCACGCGTCTCTGTCTGCGAGACGAGGCGGTGGCATGGCAAAGACTGCTGTTTCAAATAGAGTATTACGGCCCGACCAGTCTCCCTCGTCGAGTCAGTTCCTTTTCCTTACACGCCTCCCAGTTTTCCTTGTCAAGCTAGTTTTCCTTTTCCCTTGAGGGAGCAGGACCAAGCGGAGGGGACAACAAAAAACACGCGAGGAACGCAGGGAGCGGGAGGAAGGACACTTTGCCCGTCGGCGACAGCTTTGAAATTGTTTACAGATGGTATTTTTGCAGAAAAATTGACGCGCACTTCTGTAGTTGTGGTGTTGTGCACGCTTTGCCCGTTAAAGAAAAATGAACTTTAAAATATCGTCCCTAACCATGGCGCCTTACGGACGGGCCCAGCTACTACCAAGCAACCGACCCGTACGTAGAAATGTGGCCCAGCATAACTCCAGAAGTGCTCGGGGCTAATTAGCCACCAGGTAAAATGGCATTGTGTACTTCCGAGCAACGTTTCTGTTGGGCCAGTACAGGGGTTGTGAGGAATCTGTTGCACACGGTGTGCCGGGCGTGTTGTAGGCTCCTCTCCGCAGTGCGGCCCTTCCTCATCCCATTGTATGCACCCCCCATGCCCCCCACCCACCCTGGCAACGTGCCGTACGTGCGCTCATGTCGTGGACGTGAGCCCCCCCCCCCATTCTCTCCGTCATACACAAACTCCCCGTTTCCATTCCTTTTAAGAGTCCGGCCGGCTGTTCCAGCTCTTCGGGCTGAATGCCGCGCCCAGCGCACTCTGCCGGATCAGGTCCACGACTTGCGAACGTGCTCTGGGACTGATCTCTCCGTCCGCACCGACCGCGCGCAGCAGGGTTCAAGCATCTCACATAGAGACGCCCTCGCCAGCTCCCTCCTCCGCCCTACCCCTAGAGCACCCCGCAGCAAAGCATATCCTCGGGGAAAACTTTGTCAGACGGAAAGACAAACGGGCAATGAGGAATAAAGGAAGTTGAATGCGCGCTATCCATACGCCCCTCCTCCCCTCCATGCTCCATATCTCGCGCGTGCGGGCACTGGGCGGTGGTGCTTCCCACAGGGGCGTTTGTCTATCTTGCCTCTCATAACCGAGTATTGCAATGTGGTCGTGCGGAGTTTGGGGGGATGGGGTGTGGCGGGGATAATGGGGGTGAGATGGGGTGGGGTGGAGGTGCAGCGGAAGAACGCCGTAGGGTGGGGTGGTTTCACATCAATCCTCGGGGCGCATCAGTCATGCTCATGCGTGACGAGGCGTTTACACTGTGCGACGCTTTGCCGGGGAAATGTGTCGACAACGTTTTTAAAGGCATTCAGAGGCTTATATAAAGTGTATACATACTTTACTTCGACGTTTAGAATAGTTTTATTTTAATGCATGAATAATAACGCTACGGCTAAAAATAAAGTTGAGTTTATCCGCCCTCTTTTTTGCAAAGGCTTTCTGCAGCGTCCTCGCACACATTGTTCATAATGGTGCACACGGGAGCAAAGGGGATAGGAGGGGGAAAAGGGGGGAGACGCCACCGCTGCCGCGCTGCGTCCGTCGTCGCTAAAGGAGAAAAACTTTTGTAGTTAAGATGAAAATATATACAATATACTGTGTCGCAGAGCCCCGGAATAGTCAGAAGGGGCGGGCTTTTTGGCGAGAGCGTAGAGACACTCTAAATGACACGGGGGCATTGTTTTGTCTTTTGCAAAGATGCAATGATAAAACTTAGGAAGTAAAAGATTCCGGGGGTCTGGCGTGTCCTTCACGCAAGCAACAGGGCGTGTGTGGAGGGGGAAGGCGGGGGGGACGGGTCCAAGTTTATTTTTCAAAAAGAAGGAGCCTGGGCGAGAGGGACTGTTGTGTTTTAGTTAGTAAGTCAAATAAATGCTCCAGATTACCTCGTAACTCCCCGCGGTGGCTGGTTGGTCCTGGTGACGTTCGCTTCCGGACGAAAAAGGCGAGCCCCTCTACTTTTACTACTTCCGTTAGGGGCTTGAAACCAATGAGAGAAGGCGTGGTGGTGTACTTTTTCTTACGGGACTCGCCTGCGCACTAATTCTCCTAGGAGCCTCAGCACGTCGCGCGCGTCGTTTTTTATGGGATGAGGACGCGATGATCCAAACTCGTTTCCGTCGCTCATCTCGTGCTTGTTTTTTTTTCTTTACTCCCTGCGCTTCCCGCATTTTCAGCGCAGTGGTGGCTTCTAGACCGTTTACAGCACACGGCCTGGCACGAGCGGCAGTGTAGGCGAGCGCGTCGACCCCCGGGGGGCGGACGTCGGCCAGCATCATGGATCTTCACTCCCCTTTTTCACTCTCGCCGGATTTATTTTCTTGTCTGGGCCACTACGATTACGACGCGATATAGGGAGGGATAAGGGATGCTGCTATAAGCGAACGCGAAGCGTGTGTGTGAGAGGGAGAGAAAGGGGGGGAGGGCACAGAAGTCCAGCTTTCATAGCGCGGAGCAAAAGAAAACCGCAGCAAAAACACGAAACCAAACAAAGAACGTCGTCGACCCTTTCGCCTCTAGGAGGTTCAAGAGCAGGTTCTGATTCTACTTGGACGCGTCGGGAGACCCGACTGGCGGCTGGCTGGCTAGACCGAGCAGAGAGGAGAGGGATGTCATGAATGCTTCATGCAGCCCGAAACGATTACGCGAATCGATGTTGGGAGCGCCGGACGGGCGCGTGGAGCGGAGCGGCGCGTTGTGGCGTGCAAACGTCGGGGCGTGTAGTCTGCCACGCCCGTCACCCATCGTGCCGCCACCCCGCCGCATGAGCAGAGCACCACGTGCGAGGGAGTCGCCCATGGGAAATTACCTCGACGTAAACCTATCGTTACCTACACATGCGACGACGACGTCGTTGAGTCGACGCCAATCTACGTTACTCACTTCAACTGCTCGACGTATGTGGAATCCATAGGTATAGCGCGCCTCGTAGATACTACGTTGTAGATTTTACTATGGGGATGGGGTGGTAGGACGACGGGGGTAAGGGGCTGTAGAGGTGCACTCTCTTTTGTCCATTTAAATAGGATGGAAAGAGTTTGGGGTGCGAGGAGTAAGTGAAAACCACTGAGGACACACTCTCCCCCTCCCCTCCCCCTCTCTCTACTGTCGGGGCCCTCTCTTGCGACTCCCACACACGACACACGCGCGCACACTCTCCCAGGGGGGCGGGCGGCGGCAGGGGGGACAACTAACCCGAGGCACGACGGTAAACAGAATTCATGGGTCTGCCGCATCCGGCCCTCTCCACGCCACGCCATGCCCCTGCCCCTCTTCTCCCCGCCACGCCACCTCGGCTGACGCCGACTCCCACCTGGACTGTTTTCCAGTTCACTGATCCAGTCCACAAGCCCCGCTGGCCCGCCAACCCCCTTTCCATCAGCATCCCATCGGTCGCGACCGATAGAGGGGAGAGATTGAATCAATCCGCTTCTTACCCACCACCTCCCAAAACACTGAAAATCGCCACCCATGATTGGCGTCTTATGACTCCAAAATATTGCAGAATTTGGCGTCATTTACCACATTGGACGCCAAAGCCTGGCGTCTTATGACGCCAAATCTTGACGCCAACCAGTTTACAGTGAAGCTACCACATGCCGTTGTAACCCTTCCCAGAACGTTATTCAGGTCCCCTTAACGTTCAGCGAACATTTTTAGAACGATTCGTGCTACCAAGGTGGACATTCGCCGCTTTACAACTTCGCTTCCTTCATGCGGTATTACATCAATAATACGCAGCTCAGGAGCCGCCACCATGCCTCCCGGAACACAGTCTTGTGGGCTATCCAAAAATCGCCCCCCGCCGTTCTTTTCCCTCTTTCGGTTTTCTGCCTTGGCCCGAGAGTCCGTGAGCCCTTGACTTTGACAACCTGCTTCCCCGTCTTTGCCAAACAAACCCCTCGCCGTGGTATGCTTGTACATCAAAAAGTCAGCTCCAGACGCCTTTTTGTTACGCCTATCGAGGAAAAGTGGTTGGCGCTGACTTTCGGCCTCCTGACGCCGACGCCGAGCCCCCCCCGACCCAGAGGCCGCAGCGCCGGCCGACCCTTTCACTCAATTAAGCGCCGTGCCCGTGGCTCTGGAAGACCAGCGGCGCCGCCATTGTGGCTGGGCGACGTCCCGCCACTTCACACGGCCATCATGGCCCGCATCCCCCCCGCCCCTTTGCTCTCTGCCTTTTCCCGTTATTCCTCTCTCTCTCTCTTCGGAGTATAGTAGTATCTTC